GGTCAAGAATCTCCCAATCATATCATTCCCGTTCTTGATATCACTTATCCGGATGATGGGAGTGTTCCCGATTTATCTCCCTACGGATACGTCACAGTCTTTATGTCAAGCTTTCTTGCCGGTTTCCGTCAACAAATCCCAAGAATTATTGGTGAACTATGTGCAGAAGTTGAGATTGCTCCGAGCCAGCTAACACTTCCATCATGGGGTCTTATGAACGCGATTCAAGTCCTCTCTGACCTCTCTGGTATCTTTGTTACTGGCCTCATGGTGGCAGGGGCGTTTAGGGTTGAAGAAACAGCCTTCAATTCAAGGCGATTCGAACTCCTTCCCCGGAGCGGTGCTAGATCTCCGGTGCTTATCCCTGATTGGTTGAATCCATCTGAAGAAGGCGGACACTATATCTATGTACTTCATCGTGGTCCTCTTGCTATTTCTCGCTCATGGTCTCCTCCGGGTATGTATTGTACTAACAGAGAACATTTTGTGTTGGGTTAGCTTTCTGTACCCTAAACCCTAAAATCTGGTTCGCTGTTTGCTAGGTTTTGTCCCACCGGTTCGACATTCGTATCCAGTTTTTCCAGATGTGTTGTTTGATTTGGATCGTCGTCTCCGAGATCCTCGTTTCCTGCTAAGTACCGAGTGCATCTATGATAGTTCGCTTGTTGCATCGTTTTATCATCCTTTCGAGTTCGTGGGTTAGTGTTACTTTTTAACATCTATAAATATATACCAAAAGTGCGGGAGCCTAGTGGTAACACAAGGAGGTTGATTCCTTTGTTTCCCGGATTTAAACCCTTTTGGGACGAACAATTATTCCTTAAATCGGAATATCTAAAGCTGACTTCATGTAGCGAGGAGATTATATATGTTCCAAAGTTTCGGAACTCCCACAGTTTATAACAAAAAAACATCTATAAATATAACCAATGTATTTCCATCTACAAATCCGTATGATGTTCCTCAAAAAAAGATATCTGAGGACCTGATAAAAAAAACTAAGTTTACCCTAATAATAATTTATCATATGTCGTTTCCTATTTGTTTTAAATTTAATTTTAAATTTTCGTGGTTTGATTCGTTTTAAGTGAATGTTATATGTATGGATCGTGAAATGAGAACTCTATCTCATGTTTGATTCAGTGGCAATCCTATTTCTCATTCTTTAGAGTTAATGTATGTAAAAACTTTATTTCACTGATTTGGTAAACCAATTTTTTTGTGCTAATTGAAGTTCATGTGTTGACAAAAACTATTTGGTATTTTATCTAACATTTTGCATAAGCTCTGGTTTCTTTTTTCCAACAAACATGAAAAAATGGCGGTTTAGCTTATTTAGCTCAAATTACCATGATGTAACCTCTTTTTTTTTTTTGTTGATGAATAATATAACATTTCAACAAATAAAAATAAGTAATGTATCTATTAGTTACCCTCTCTGTTTCAAATTATTTTTCTCCTAAAGATTCTCAAACGCATAATTCAGACATCCACTTGAGAGCAAATTTGATCGAGAAGTAAGTGTGGATTGAGTTTGATTCACATCTGAGGATCGTGAACACTCTTCTTTTAGTGGAGAGATTTCGAAAGAAGACAATGGAGCTTCTCCTGGTGAGGGAGGTTGGAACTTACAGCGAGATGAATCCCTCTTCCAAAGAAAAGAGAGAGAAAGAGAGATTCCCGTGATTTTTTTATTTTCACCTGACTTTTTGTTACGAAGAGTGGCATAAATGAAAAGACACACTCTTTGATGGTACGTTTGCTTAAATCATTTTTTAAAATGATATTTTTGTAATTGTCCCGTATATCTAACTCCGAAACCTTTGACTTTATATATGTTATCGTGGATTTCAGGTGGAAAGCCAAACAAGAAGGAAGAAAAGCTCAAAGGTTTAGATCAATAGCGTAATTTAATTTGTTCTTACAGTTCGATCATGCAGAGACAAATGGTGAAGCTAGCTTAATTATTAAATCAAAAACTTTTGTGCTCTTTATCCCCTATATATTATTTGGAAGGTGATTATTCAAAAAAGATTTACGTGTCTGCTCTATATTCACTTTCTCAAAATCATTTGTGATGTGACAATCCCCTAATATAACATGGCAAAACTCTTTCCAAAAATTTCTTATATGTGGCAAAACAATGTAATCCATCTCAAATAAATATTTACATTTAACACGAAAATTTAATATTCAAATCTTATATAAATTTTTAATTTAGTATTTGAAACATTAAGATAGAAATATAATAATGTATTGTTGTTGCTAACACAATATTTTATAATTTGAAAAATATAAAGAATATTGAGTATTCAATCAGCATAATCAAAAGATAATTAAACTTATGAATTTGGTATTAACGAGTTTTATTTTTTAATCTGCAAAAAATCAATAATTTTATACATCTCCTATACATTATTTGGGAGGTGATTATTCAAACAAATATTTTGTGTTCTCTATATTCACTCTCCCAAAAATAATTGTGACATGGCAATCTCCTAACATGACATTACAAAACTTTTTATAAAAATTTCTTACATGGCAAAACAATATAATCCCTCTCACATAAATATTTACATTTTAAATATTTATTAACATGGAAATTTAATTTTCAAATCTTATATAAATTTTTAATTTATGTACTTGAAACCTTAAGAAAAAATTATAATAATGTATTGTCTTTGATAACATAATGTTTTATAATTTTAAAAATATTTAAACTCTCCTAGTAAATTAATCTTCTTTTGGCGTATAGTGGAGGAAGAAGTAAAGCAACAACTCTCCTAGTAAATTAATAAATTTTCTAAAGTCCCAAGTTTTAGAATATGTTGTAGTTTACCTCCGCCATGAGGATCCTGGATTGTCGTAGTCACACTTCGGCGTGATGCACCTAGCATGAATGTAGCCCGTAAGAATGCCTACACATGTGTCTACAATGGGAAAATCTATGTACTTGGAGGATGCGAAGGGTTAGAGGATGATGAATTCAACACAAAGACTCAGACTTGGGAACCTATCCCTATTCTGGGTACTGAGGTACGTGAGCAATACCCATTCAGATTCAGATTCAAAGAGATGGAAAGAAATATTTACTTTGGGACTGCAAACAAGATGTATGCTTATAACACAAAGCAAGGTAAATGGGAATGTAGTGAAAATGAGAGTGTAAACAAGAGTGTAACGTTTCCCAAGTCACAATGTGTGATTGAGAAAGTGTCCTACTCATGTGGTCACGATATTATGGATGATTCCTTCGGGTGCGGGTGGTATGACATCAGGGGCGGCTCAATGATAATCAAGTCCCTGTGCAGTTTGCTAAAAATTGGCCCTTTTGTTCATAAAAAAAAAATTACAATAGTTTATGCTTACACTAACATAACAAATATATAACCAGTATGTCTACATCAACTAAATAACATTGCCCTCCTAGCATGTTTAGA